ATTCAAGACAACAATTTTCATCCGAAAATCTAATGAATTCCATCCAACAAATTCAAACTTTTTTCTCATCCACTGAAATTAATTCAGCTACTACAGTCTGAGTTGCACATTGAATGACAAGCAAAGATAGTGATGGTAGTTGATAGTTGCTGAGAAATTGTGAATTTTGTTCCACTTGTCAGACAGAAATCAAAGCAAAATTAACGATGAAAGTTTTAAAGGGAGTTTCAGGAAATTAAATGACTATTTGTTATACTGATCAAATTGGTCCGAAATTTTCGATAAATTGGTTTGGGTTATTTCTCGGAAATGATCGATGATAGCTGGGGAAAACTAAAGTGAGTGAGTGACCGGTTGGTTTGTTGGATCGGATAGAGTGGTGGAGCAGTTTATATATGTCATCGTTGTCTATTCGAAACAAATTTTTTCAATTCACCTCCTTCATCTTTTATCAATTAATCCAGTTTAAATTGAAAAATTAATTTGAAATAAATGATATGTCTGAGATGAAACATTTAATAATAGAGAGAGAGAGAGAGGGAGAGAGAGGGAGAGGGACAGAGGGAAAGGGAGGGGAGATAAAGAAAAAATTCTAAAACTTTTCATAATCTGTAATCGGAAAAAAAAGAAGAAACGGACAAGAAAGTGAAAGCTAAAAAAAACGGAGGCAAAGAAGACGATCGAATTATTATGGCATTCAAAAAATACACACTGTAATGTCTGGATGATTCGAATTCCTATTTGACATTTGGTATTACCTTTTTTCAAAAAAAAAAAAAGTTTGATTTCAACTTATAATATGATGCAAAAACAAAACGAAAAAAAATCTTTCTTTCTTGTATTATCTGACCTTAAACCACGCAGCCAAAAAAAAAAGCACTCAAAAAAAAGCATTTTATCAAAAGATTTATGCACCTGCATGAAGAGTACCTTTACGTATAGACTAACGATTACACGTACAATGTTTAACAGAACTTCAACAAAACATTTTTGCTTCTACATGAATTTCACATTATTATATTTATGCTACTTGAAAATGTAAGTATTATTTCACAGAAATATTTCAAAAAAAAAAAAAAAGATCATTAGCAAGAATAATTTAAATCATTTAGCTTTATGAAAAACTAATTCATATGAGTTGTAATACTGTATTACTTATAACAAAAGAAATATTCATCAAACACATAAGTATATACATATATATATGTATACAAAACGAAAAATTAAATCTCAAATTAAATCTTTCTTGAAATTAAATTTTACTCATTTAAAAAGGTGAAAGAGAAAGAAAACTTTGAATAAATAACAATGTAATCAGTGAAAATAATCAAATTTACTAAAAACCATTGCACTGACAAATATATGAGCTTGTCCGATTAGCAAATGCATACCACGATAAATCATAAACATTACCTTCACTAATTTCACCACCCAAAAACCGATGTGTATCGGTCATATTTGCGCCATCATATAAATCCAAAAAGCAGTCCGGTCGTATTATTGCTAAAGTTATTTGATCGTTCCACTGAAAAAATGACCACATATTTGCATGAAATACTAAAATTTGGGATTAATTTTTTTTTTTTTAAATTTGTATTTGCAATTTTTAATTGAAAAAAACTTTCAGGGAAATGTTTTCAAAATATTGAAAAATTGACATGTAATGTAAAATGTTGAAAAACACAAATGAATGATTAAATTTTCCAATGGTTATTAATTTATAAAGAAAATTATTGTATTTGTAAAAGGTGTAAGCGAAAAAAAAAATTAAAATATTTAATGAAAACCAATCGATCGAGTTCCATTTCATGCGAATCTTCGGTAACGGTACAAAATGTGTTCGAGCATTCATTATCGGTAAATAAAAATGCACATATTGGTGGTGGTATATCCCGGGAAATCGGGCATACGGCCAATATTATTCTGGCAAATTCCAGCAGACAAAAACAGTAAAGAATTTTATTTATTATCGTCCAATTTTCCATTTACGTCTTTCCTTAAATGAAAATTTGATCAAGATTTGAAAAGCTTTTTAGCAAAACTTATTTTTAAATCAAATTACTCAAAATTTCTTGGTTTTAAATTTCAAGAGATTATTAATAGTGATTAAAAAAATTAAATCAAACAGACAGACTTCAAAAGTTTATAGGAAAATCATAAACTTCTACTGATTCAAGTAAAAATGATTACTTGTTTTTAGAATTTTTGCTTCAAAAAAATGTTTTTCTTTTCATTCGTATAAATATATTTCAATTGATTTCCTCCATACAAATTTAAAATAGAAAGGAACTTGCAGATTGGCTCAAAATACGGAAACATTCGAGGGCCAATCGATCCTTTAATTGATTAATCAATTCATTTAACTTCAAAAATAAATTACGGAAAAATAAAGGATTGTAAAAAAACAGAACAATTTAAAAGCATTGCTAACAAAATGACTAAGTAAATCGATAGTTTGAAGTTAGGATAAAACAAATCTGAGGTTTTTAAATTAACTATTAAATTCATTCAACAAATGATAAAATTAATTTAGTTATAGTAATTAAGTCAATAACAGTTAATGTAATTTTGATATAATTAATTTCAAATTTTTTAAATTGATCATAATTTCAGTTGTAATTTATTTGCTTGAAAAAATGAAATAAAATGATGGATAAATGCAAGTGAATAGAAGTAGAAAGATAGAAACAATTTAAAATTTGAAAAAATCAATAGAAAATCCTCGAGTAGAAAAAGCAAATCGCCTAGAATGCAATAGAAACAAAACTTTTTAGCAAACTTTGTAAAATGATTAATTAGTTTTTTAAGCACGAAAATGTCAAAAGCAATTATTTGAAATATCGAAAAAAACAAGGAATAGAGAAAAGATGAACAAAAAATAATAATAATAACACTCGAGAATAAGCAAATGTAGGTTAGAGCTTTTTTCAAATCAAATATCAAAGATTTATGAAATTTGCTTTATTCAAATTTAGATTGCTGTTACGTACAAATATGGATTTAAATTGATTTATGAATTTTTCAAATTTTATGCAAATTAAAATATTTCTCTATCTATTCTATTGTTATAAAAAGAGTAAAAAAGCCAAACTTAAAAAATACTTAATAAAAAGATTAAATCAAAACTTTGCCAAACTGATTTAATTGAAATGTGATAAGAGATGAAATTTGATGCCTTTAATTATAATATCCTTAATTGAGCGGTATGAGTGGCCTTTACTATAGATTGACTAAATGAGTGAAAAAAAAAACAATAAATCCAGAAAGCGATAAGTTTTGTTTTAATTGAAATGCGGTGTAAAATGAAATTTGATGTTTCTAATTTTAGCATCGTTGATTAAATTATATGCATTATAAATTTATCATCATTTTTGAAATTCAAGTGAAATAATTACTAATCCCGAATTTCCACTTTTCTATTTCCTTTATATCAATCATAGAAATGAAAAAAAATTAATACTAAAAATAAGTTTTTAGGAAAGTTGGAAGATTAAAATTTTTAAAATAAATTACTGTTTTTAATAACAGTATAAAGAATTGTTAATCAAATTAGCATCATAATCAAATTTCTATTTTTTAATACTTTTTTTCAACTTTAAATTTTTTAAATCTTCTTTACTTATTACAGTAAAGTTTTATCTTACTTATGGTAAAACCGTATTGTAATATTTTCACCTAATTTTACCTTATTTTCCCTATTATTAGTTGTTACATTTATAGCAAAAAAAAATTGCCATAAATATAATAATTAAATTTAGACCAAGAGAGACGACATTTTTATCCGTCTTATTTTTCTTCAACCACTTATCGCAGAGGTTTACAAAACAAGTTAAAACTGTATTGCAGAATAAAATTAGAAATGGAACTGAGAATAAATGAGAAAAATATTCAAACATTGGGAAACGTGTTCCTCAATCTTCTACGTTTCACTGAAGTCCGTGAAAATATTTTTGGGATTTTACGTAAGATTATCAAAAGATTTTTAATGATTTTATATAAAGTTGAAAAAATATCTCTAAATTTAAAACTAGCTACTTCATTTTTGCCAGAAACGAAGGAAGTAAAAATTATTTTCTAAAAATGGTTTGCTACACGGTAACATTTAATTTTATTGCCATTATTTCAAAAACAAAAATAAAATAAATGAGCGAACATAGCATAAGCATTTTGTTGAATTATAATGCATAATTTTGCCATTCTCAAACTTTCGAATTACTTTAAAACAAAGACAGCTAAAAATTCATTTCGAAAAATGAAATTTTCACGATAAAATAAATATTAATTTTTATCAATCTTATTAAATTGCTTAGAACTGTGGATGTTGCAACTTTCGGATAGTTTCAATAAAAAATACTGACTTGAAATTTAAATCCACAAAATAATCCTTTTTTTGTTCGACATGCAAAAAATTTCTAAGTAGTGTTGTTCAGAACACTAAAAAACATTTTTCGAAGAAAAAAAATAAATAAAATCGATCGATATTTAATACATTGCTTATAGTAACATTTTGCATATATAACAAAAAATTGAATATAAAATAATAACACTCTGAATATGTATCAAAAATTTGAATATAAGATAATAACATTCTGAATATATATCAGAAATTTGAATATAAGATAATAGCTCCCTGAATCTACATCAAAAATTTGAATATAACATAATAAAACTCTGAATAAATATCAAAAATTTGAATATAAGATAATAACACTGATTATACACCAGAAATTTGAATATAAAGTAAGGAAACTAAATGAAGTATGTTCATTTTCATTCCTGTCTTCCCGAGTAAGCGGTCGCTCATAAACGGTCACTTTGATATCAGCAGATAATGTCACTGTCAAGTTCATCGTCAAGTATCCCGAAGCCATCATTTAAAACTGATCAAATTATCAACAATTCCTGGAAGGCTAATATTATTATTCATTAATGTTTCCTTCTTCTTTTTTTTATCAAAATAAACACTTGAATTAATTTTAGTTTTTTTTTTCAAGGAATAGATGAAAAATTCAAAAATATTTCAGGTAATTAAAGAACTTGGTAGTGGTGGTTGCGGTATCGTTTATGAAGTTGAACGAATATGCGGTAGAAATATGGGAATACGTGCTGCAATGAAAGCGGAAACGGTAGATGAAAATCAAAAGTATTCTGAAACACTTGTTGCTGAGGTTCAATTAAAATTCCTTAAATTTTAATTTTCAAACATCTCATTTTTTGCATAACCAATGATAACTAATGAAAAAAATTGACAAAATTTTTGCTTAAGTTAATGTAAGTTTTTTTTTTTTTAAATTTAATCTATTAATTAGTTTTATCTTCATTATTATTATTTTTTGTTTATCACTTCACTGAAAAGTTCGCACAAAAAAATAAATTCGATCATACAAAAAAGTGATGGAAAAAACTTAAATTATTCAATGTTTTGAGGCTCTGGTCTTACGTCGTATGCAATGGTCATCACATTTTTGTCGCCTATATTTAGCTGGTCGATCATCACCTAACTGTAACATTATTGTTATGTCACTTGTTGGACGGCCACTTTCTTGGCTTCGACGTCAAAATCCATCTCAACGATTTACTCTTTCCACGGCAATACGTCTTGGCATGCAGTGTCTTCAAGTATGATTACAAATACTTTTAAAAAATTTTTTCATTTCAACAAACTATTATCACTACTTATTAACATCATTTTTTTTTTCTTTGTCACATATTATTTATGAAATTTTCAGGCAATTAATGATTTACATACTATCGGAATTATTCATCGTGATATTAAAGGATCCAATTTTGCAATTGGTCGAGGAAATTTACGCCGTGTAGTTCATATGATTGATTTTGGATTCTCACGATTTTATGTATATTTTTCAAAATTAAAAAATTTTTAGTAAAAAGTTTGTAAAATACAGTGATTCATATTTTCATTATTTTTTAACGAAATAAGTCTACCAATTGTTGTAATTGACAAAAAAAAATGGTTTAAAAAAGAAACCTGAAAATATTGGATTAAAATTTGCATAAAATAGTAATTACTATTTTTGGCAGGTTCATGTCAAAATTTATTATGATGCATGCACTATTTTATTAGTTTCCAAGCATCATTTTATAATTGATTTTATAAAACTGATAATTAAATTACTGAACTTGTCAAACTTAAACTTTTCCTTTTTCTCTCTTCCCGACTTATTTTCAAATTATGAAAATAATTTATGGAAAATATTCATAATTATATCAAGTATTAATTTATCATTGATTATTTAGTTAACAAGAGGTTCAGATGGGAAATTGCACCATCGCAGTCAAAGACCTAAAGCGCCATATTTGGGCACTGATCGATACTGCTCCGTTTTTGTGCATATGGGAAAAGATCAAGGTAAATCAAAAGAAAGCATTCAAATTTCATAGAATTATCCATCAAAAAATTTTGCTAATTTAGAAATCTACAAACGAAAGTTTTTTTTGTAAATTTTATTTTTCAAAAATTATTCGGAAAATTTTCGAAACACTAAAATAATTTTTTTAGCAGTCGAAATACTTTTTATTACTCATCGAAATTTTTATCATTGTCATAAAATTATTATTTCTTTTTTTATTTGTTTTATTTCCAATTTTATATTTCCTTTTTGATTATGTCACTGTATCATAATTTCGTCCTATATTTCTAGTAAATTTTGACCTTTAATACTGTACTTCAAATATTTGAATGTAAGAAAAATAATGAATTTACAATGAATCATATTATTAACAAACATTTTAGGCAGACGTGATGATTTATGGTCATTCCTATATATGTTAATTGAATTCATCGTTGGTCAGTTACCGTGGAGAACCGCATCCTACAAAAATCTTCTCTCAATGAAAGTTGGTTTTTATCACCTTTTTTTTTCTCTTTCCTTTCAAAAATTGTAAATATATTTATTTTATAGTAATAACAAGAAAAAAAAAATAGGAACAATTATTCATGAAATGTTTTAAAGGGGAAAAGATTTCTCGACTAATACATTTTCTTTTCATTTCATTAATTACTCTCTTTTAATTTCCTTTCTATCAATCATTTTTTTTAATTTTTGTTAGAAGAAAAAAAATTAGTCATTAATA